TGAGGTGGAGCGTCTCATGAGGGCCGGCGTGGGGTGTGGGGGGGGGGGGCAGGAATGTGTTTATAGGGGCGTTGTTGTTGGACATCCTGGCTGAGACCTGGCGCTGTTGTGTCAGGCAACGGATGGACCCCCAGGAGCTCGGGGTCAGAGCACATGGGAGCACTTGGGGGGCTCAGGGCAGAGCAGGAATTTTGTTGCAGGAGCTGCCAGGGTCTTGTGAATCCTTGTGCAGCTGCTGCTCTGCCTCTTTCCTGGGAGAAACCCCTGCTGGGTGACTGGCTGCTGGGAATCCCAGGATCCCAGACTGGTTTGGGTCGGAAGGGACCTTAAAGGTCATGTAGTCCCAACCCCCTGCATGGGCAGGGACACCTCCCAGCAGCCCAGGTTGCAAAGCTGGAAGCTTGGAGCTGCATCCTGCTCCTGAGACCTCCCCGGGAGCTGGGACCTGCCAGCTCGTTTCACTGGTGGGCACACAGAGATGGGGACACGCGGCAGACAAAGCCTCGTTCTCTCTCATGGGTGCACGTGGGATCCCCCTGCATTTTGGGGGGTGGGCAGGGCTGCTGGGAGGGAGCAGGGTCTGACGGATGCGTGTGTCTGCAGGTGGCTGCACCTTCGAGGAGGACGGCGCGGCGGCGCAGTGCGAGTACGGGCAGGGCCAGGACGATGACTTCAGCTGGGAACTGTTCCGCAGCCACGCGGCACCGCACCTGACGGAGCTGCCCCACGGTGAGTGAGGGAGGGAGGGAGGGAGTCCCGGGGCCCCTGCCCCTCTGTCCTGCTGCCCCTCTGTCCTGCACCCATGGCTGCACCCCCTGCTCAAACGCGCCCACAGCGTTTGAGGCTTTAGCTTGTCCTGGGTTGTGTGGGGAGGGCTCTGCTGGGCCTGCTGGCGGGGGGGGATGAGTTGTGTCTGTCCTCCGGGCTTTGGGGGGGGCTCTGCTGGCCCTGCCGACAGGGTGTGATGAGTTGTGTCTGGCCTCAGGTCTTTGGGGGGGCTCTGCTGGGCCTGCCGACAGGGGGTGATGAGTTGTGTCTGGCCTCAGGTCTTTGGGGGGGCTCTGCTGGGCCTGCCGACAGGGGGTGATGAGTTGTGTCTGGCCTCAGGTCTTTGGGGGGGCTCTGCTGGGCCTGCCGACAGGGGGTGATGAGTTGTGTCTGGCCTCAGGTCTTTGGGGGGGCTCTGCTGGGCCTGCCGACAGGGTGTGATGAGTTGTGTCTGTCCTCCTCGTGGCAGGGCAGGATGCTGCATTGCCCTGGGGAGGGGACAGGAGACATGGGACTCTGTTGTTGCTGGAGAGAGGAGAGTTTTTAACAGCCCAGCAGAGACAGGGACATGGGAAGGCTGTGGGTACCTCTGAGCCCTGTGTTGCTGCCCTGGCAGGGTGTGACAGAGCAGACATTCCAGATGTGTATTTTTGGAATGGGAAGCCAGGAATTCCAGCTCCACTCCCTCTGCCATCACTCTGGTTGCTGTCTGGGCACCCCCAGCCCTGGGGACACCAGGGGGATGTCCCCTCCTCCATGGCACCTCCGGGGTGGCAGCAGCTCAGGCAACTTTCCATGCTTCCCATGGGACTTGGCAACATCTCCATCTGGTGTCAAATGCAGCACTTGGGATGCACCTAGATCCCAATGGGAAGGGGCACCCTGGGAGCACCTTCCCAGGAGCTGCTCCCACTGCTGGCTCTTCCCTGGCTGCCACATCAGCTTGTGCTGCTTTTGCAAGTCTGGGGTCCTGTGAGGAATTCCCAACTCTGGAAGATGTGGAAGAAGGGGAAAATGTGTTTCTGGCTCTTGCAAGTGTGGGGAAAGGCTGTGAGTGGAGACACCTCCAAAGTCTTGGCAACTCTTAAGGAAGAAAATGCAAATGGACTTTCTTCTTTTCTTAAAAGCATTTGTAGATTTGAAACTATTTTTTTGTTATTTTCTGGGTCCAAATTCCTTGCTTGGATGAACAGGCCTGGGGCAGAGCCAGCCAGGATCTCCCCTTCTCCTGAGGGGTGATGTGGGCACCCTGCCATGGGTGGTTGGGTGGCATCTGAAGGGCTCTGCTCGCTCCAAGCTCTGGAACATGTCCCAGCGTGGCCTCTGTATACCTGTTACCTCTGAGAACTGCATTGGGCTGGAGTTCCTCCTGGTTTTTGGGGTTCCTGCCCTGGTTCTGGTGGTCCAGCTCCTGCCCTGGTCCTGGTGATCCAGCTCCAGCCCAGTGAGGAGCTCAGGTCCCAGGCTGAGGATGGGCAGAAGGAGAGGAAAGCTGCTTTAGAGCTCGGTGGTAAAAATGCCTTTTTTTAAATTAAAACATTAACTGCTTTACAGCAAACCCTTTACTGCTCCATCAATATGCCTCCAGCTGTTTATCTCATGACTTCTTTGTGCCAGGGCTTAATTTGGCTTTTCCTATCCACTAACCCACTTCTTGCTTTACCTTCTCCTCTTTCCCATCCTCTTTTCCTTCCTTTCTCATTCCCTCTGGCACATCCTGGGCACTGGGCAAGGGCAAAACAACCCTTAGCCTGGTGGTAGAACTGCTGACAGATCCTGCTCTCCCTTGTTCATTTTCCAAATAATTGTTTTAAACGGAACTATCCTAATTTGTGTGTGTCCCAGGGGGGTTCCTGGGGCAGTGAGAGGGGAAGCAGAGGTGGGGATTGAGATGGTTGAAGATGGAGGGTTGGAAACCTGTAATTAATTTGGTTTCCTGCTGCATTTTCAGCTGTAATTTAAAATCTGCAGCAAACTGCTTGGGTTTAAAGCCTGGGGGCTGAAGGGGTGGGGGGGGAGTGGGGTTGCTCTCTGCTTGAGTAGATAACTGAGGGTTAGCAAGAGATGGGGGTTTAAATTAATGCCACGTTTCAGAAATAAGCTCCAGAGTTGGTGGGGAAGTGGAGGGAACAGTTTGAGGTGAGATGCTGTGAGGGTGGCAGGGGCAGAGCCCCTGTTCCCCGTGTTGATTAGTGACACCCCAAGGGGTGCCCCTCATAACCCCCCATCTCTTTACTGGCAGGCAGTGGGGCTGCAAAGGTGCAGGTAAACTCTTTGGGGCACCCAGTGGGTGCAGGGACCCCATTTTACTGCAGTTTCACCTAAGCACACACGGGGAGCATCACAGGAGGCTCCAGCAGCCTTAGCACCCTGCTCAGTCCCCCATTAAGCAGCTTGTGGATGAAGAGGATTTCTCAGCACCAGGGCCTCTCCAGGGAGCACTTTGCAAAGGAGTCTCGTGGTCTTAGATGAAAACGAGTTGTTACTGGAGCTCAGCCAGTTTGAAGGAGCGTAGGATTTAGTGGAGCAGATGCTGGCTGCTGGCCACCAGCCCCCCCCTGCAGCCCTCTTTGCTTTTCCCTTTCTTGTTTGGTTTGGGTGTTCTTCCTTCTCTTCCCATCTTGATTTGTCTCCCACTTCCACCTAAAGACCGTGGCTGGTTCTCTCCCACACCTTGGGTCTCTCCCACGTTGTCATCGTGATTTTGGTTGGGTTGGGTTTTTTTTTCCCATCTCTTTGTTATTTCTAAAAGAAGCAGTTACTAGGAGCCAGGTGAGGCAGGTGTGAGGCTGCACCCATTGCTGTGTCTGCACAAAATAACTCTCCATAGGTGTCTGGGCACCTTTTTCCTCCTGTTCTCCCCCAGGTGTCACCTCCATGTCCCAGGCTGATCCTCACCTGCCTTCAGGTTCTGCAGGATCCCATCTCCTAGAAGTCCTTTTGTTCCAAAGCTGGGGAGAGGAGGGACAGCTTGTGCTTGGTTCTGCAGCTCCTGGCATGGCTGGGCACCTGCAGGGAAGCAGGATTTGGCCAGATCCCAAAACCCTTTGAGGAGTGGTGGGGTGAGCCAGCAGGCAGGGATGGGGCAGGGGAGTGAAATCAGGCTGATTTCTTGAGCTCCTGGGAAGAAACACAAGTTGAGGTTATTTAATGCACACCAAAATAAACCAGGTGTTTGGGTCATGCCCTGTATGGATTTGGACGGGGAAGGTCCACGATGGAACTTGGGGCACAGTCAGGGTCAGGTCCCTGTCCTGACCCCCACTGGGCTGTGGGATTCCCTACAGGAAAGCTGGGGAGGGACTTCTGACAAGGGTTTGTAGTGAAAGAACAAGGGGTGATGGATGAAAACTGAAGAGGGGAGATTGAGGTTCGATGTGAGGAGGAAATTGTTGTGTGTGAGGGTGGTGAGAGCCTGGCCCAGGTTGCCCAGGGAAGCTGTGGCTGCCCCATCCCTGGCAGTGTTGAAGGGCAGGTTGGATGGGGCTTGGAGCAACCTGGGCTGGTGGGAGGTGTCCCTGCCCATGCAGGGGGTGAGTCTGGATGAGCTTTAAGATCCCTTCCAACCCAAAGTCTTCTGGAATTCTCTGATTTTGAGGTCGGTCCAGGTGCAGTTCCCAGACACAGGGGGGAGGTGGCTCAATGCCCTCTACAAACCCCCACAACTATCATTAGGTTTTTCTTTGTGCCACTTGCTGGGAGCCACTGGGAGGAAAGTGTGTGAATTCATTTAAATTAAGTGGCTGTGAAAGCTATTAATAATTAAGCACCTATTGCCAGGAAAACAAGGGTAGACTTCAATAAATGGCCAAGCTTTGTTATTTACAGCTTCTGCTGTTATTAAAATTGAAGAGATATTAATAATCCCTTTGCCTTTGGTGATGGGGGAGGGTTTGGTGGGTCAGATTCCCACCCACCCAGTGTCCCAACCCCATGGGTGGCTTGGGAGCTGCCACAAAGAGCCAGGACTCCTGCATCCCCCTCCTTCCTCTGGACTGCAGGGGATGGAGCGTGTGGGACAGGGAAGGATCCTGCCTTTGGGATCCCCGTTGGGGCTGTCACCCTTCCTCCCCTGGAAATGTGGCTTTAGGGTTGTACTGGTGCAAGGTGCTGAGATTCCTGGTTTCAGTGCTGGCAATTTTGAGTGATGGGAGGTGGGGTATGAGTGGCTGCTGGTGGTGGGGCTGGGGTTGGGATCCTGGGAGCCACAGTGCCAGCATCCCACGGAGCTGCAGTGTGATGTTCCCAGAGCCCTGGTGCTGCTCGTTAAGCTAACAAACGCTTCCCCCAACCCCCCCCCCCCCACTAGTGCCTGCTGAGCACAGTTTAAACTCGGTGACAACTGCGTGGTAAATGATCCGAGGTGATGGGAATGGGAATGGATGTGCTAGGGAGGGAGTGCTGGGGCAGTTGGAGCTGCGGGCGCTGTGGGAAAGCAGGCGCAGGGGCTCGGGTGGCACCCGAGCAGTTACTGACCTGTGGGGGACCAGCTCACCCTGGGGGAGGTGGGTCCTGCAGCTGGGTCAGGGCAATGCCAAGCACAAATCCAAGCTGGGTGCAAAATGGGTTGAGAGCAGCCCTGAGAAGCAGGACATCGGGGTGGTGGTGGATGAGAAGCTCAGCACGACCCAGCACCGTGTGCTGGAGCCCAGAAACCACCCGTGTCCTGGGCTGCATCCCCAGCAGTGTGGGCAGCAGGGCCAGGGAGGGGATTGTCCCCTCTGCTCTGCTCTGGGGAGACCCCCTGGAGGGCTGTGTTCAGATCTGGAGCCCCCAGCATAAGAAACAACATGAAGCCCCAACAAGGAGCTCCCAGAGAGTCCAGAGGAGGCCACAGAGATGATGGGAGGGCTGGAGCAGCTCTGCTCTGGGGACAGGATGGGAGAGTTGGGGTGTTCAGCCTGGAGAAGAGAAGGCTCCAGGGAGACCTTAGAGCACCTTCCAGGGCCTGAAGGGGCTCCAGGAAAGCTGAGGAGGGACTTGGGACAAGGGCAGGGAGGGAGAAGACAAGGGGGGATGGATTAAAACTGGCAGAGGGGAGATGGAGGTTGGAGATGAGGAGGAAATTGTTGTGTGTGAGGGTGGTGAGAGCCTGGCCCAGGTTGCCCAGGGAAGCTGTGGCTGCCCCATCCCTGGCAGTGTTGAAGGGCAGGTTGGATGGGGCTTGGAGCAGCCTGGGCTGGTGGGAGGTGTCCCTGCCCATGCAGGGGGTAGGACTGGATGATCATTAAGGTCCCTCCAACCTGGTCACCATTCCTGGAGGTGTTTCAAAGATGTCTGTGTGTGGTGTTGAGGGACATGGTTTAAGCACTGCACTTGGCTGAGTTGGATTAATGGTTTGGTAGAGTTGGGTTATGGTTGTACTCAAAGATCTTAAAGGTCTTGTCCACCCAGAAGGATTCTGTGGTTCCCCATCCCTGCGGGCCCAGCTCAGGAGCTGTGGAGCAGGGGGGTCACTCCCCGCTCTCCCCCCTTCTCCCTCCCACAGGCTCCTACCTGATGGTGAACTCCTCGCAGCACGCCCCGGGCCAGAGAGCTCACCTGCTGTTCCAGGCGCTGAGCGAGAATGACACGCACTGCCTGCAGTTCAGCTACTTCATGTAC